CCTCCATCCCCCTATCCTCCATCCCACATCCATCCACCTGGACCTCCATCCCTGCTCCCCTCCATCCCTCCCTCCCTCCATCCCCCTATCCTCCATCCCACATCCATCCACCTGGACCTCCATCCCTGCTCCCCTCCATCCCTCCCTCCCTCCATCCCCCTATCCTCCATCCCACATCCATCCACCTGGACCTCCATCCCTGCTCCCCTCCATCCCTCCCTCCCTCCATCCCCCTATCCTCCATCCCACATCCATCCACCTGGACCTCCATCCCTGCTCCCCTCCATCCCTCCCTCCCTCCATCCCCCTATCCTCCATCCCACATCCATCCACCTGGACCTCCATCCCTGCTCCCCTCCATCCCTCCCTCCCTCCATCCCCCTATCCTCCATCCCACATCCATCCACCTGGACCTCCATCCCTGCTCCCCTCCATCCCTCCCTCCCTCCATCCCCCTATCCTCCATCCCACATCCATCCACCTGGACCTCCATCCCTGCTCCCCTCCATCCCTCCCTCCCTCCATCCCCCTATCCTCCATCCCACATCCATCCACCTGGACCTCCATCCCTGCTCCCCTCCATCCCTCCCTCCCTCCATCCCCCTATCCTCCATCCCACATCCATCCACCTGGACCTCCATCCCTGCTCCCCTCCATCCCTCCCTCCCTCCATCCCCCTATCCTCCATCCCACATCCATCCACCTGGACCTCCATCCCTGCTCCCCTCCATCCCTCCCTCCCTCCATCCCCCTATCCTCCATCCCACATCCATCCACCTGGACCTCCATCCCTGCTCCCCTCCATCCCTCCCTCCCTCCATCCCCCTATCCTCCATCCCACATCCATCCACCTGGACCTCCATCCCTGCTCCCCTCCATCCCTCCCTCCCTCCATCCCCCTATCCTCCATCCCACATCCATCCACCTGGACCTCCATCCCTGCTCCCCTCCATCCCTCCCTCCCTCCATCCCCCTATCCTCCATCCCACATCCATCCACCTGGACCTCCATCCCTGCTCCCCTCCATCCCTCCCTCCCTCCATCCCCCTATCCTCCATCCCACATCCATCCACCTGGACCTCCATCCCTGCTCCCCTCCATCCCTCCCTCCCTCCATCCCCCTATCCTCCATCCCACATCCATCCACCTGGACCTCCATCCCTGCTCCCCTCCATCCCTCCCTCCCTCCATCCCCCTATCCTCCATCCCACATCCATCCACCTGGACCTCCATCCCTGCTCCCCTCCATCCCTCCCTCCCTCCATCCCCCTATCCTCCATCCCACATCCATCCACCTGGACCTCCATCCCTGCTCCCCTCCATCCCTCCCTCCCTCCATCCCCCTATCCTCCATCCCACATCCATCCACCTGGACCTCCATCCCTGCTCCCCTCCATCCCTCCCTCCCTCCATCCCCCTATCCTCCATCCCACATCCATCCACCTGGACCTCCATCCCTGCTCCCCTCCATCCCTCCCTCCCTCCATCCCCCTATCCTCGTGTGCCTGGGAGCAGATGGCCGGGACACTGTGGGATGGGGAGCTGCTCCGTGGGTGAGCCAGGCACCCCAGCAGGGTGCCCTGCCCCCCCCCAGGGCATCTCAGCACCCCAGGGTGTCCCCAGCTCCCCCATGCTGTCCTCAACACCTCCCAGCATCTTTGGCACCCCAAGGTGTCCTCAAGTTCCCCAGGACATCCATGACATCCCAGGGTTTCCCCTGCCCCCCCAACGTGTTCTCAGCACCCCCAGGGTATCCCCAGCCCCCCCAACATCCTCAGCACCCCAGGATGTCCTCTATCCACCCCACAGTGTCCTTGGCACCTCAGGGTGTCCCCCAAGCTCTGCCCACCCTGAGGTGCCCAGTGGTGCCCATCTCCCCCCAGACCTCATGCACAGACCACTAGGATGGAGGAATGGGAGAAGGCAGGGGTGGAGAGAGGACAGAGGGGTGGTGGAGGGATGATGGAGGGAGGAGTGGATGAAGAGCCAAGGGTGAGAAGGGTGGCTACATGGAGGGCAGGAGAGAGAGGGACAGACACATGGGGGATGGAGAGGGGAATGGACGGAGAAACAGCAGAGGGAAAGATGGATGGGGGAGGGCTGGATGAAGAGATGACAGAAGAAAGTAGAGACAGAAGGAAAAATGAACAGAAGAAAAGGATGGGGACAAAGAGAGGAATGGATGGAGGGAGGGATAGCAGAAGGGTGGGCAGTGGAGGGCTGACGGGGAAGGATGACAGAGGGATGGCAGGGGAAGGGACCGGTGACAGAGGGCTGAAGAGGAGCTGGACGAGAAGAAAAGGATGGGGACAAAGAGAGGAATGGATGGAGGGAGGGATAGCAGAAGGGTGGGCAGTGGAGGGCTGACGGGGAAGGATGACAGAGGGATGGCAGGGGAAGGGACCGGTGACAGAGGGCTGAAGAGGAGCTGGACGAAGGGATGACGGGACAGATGACGGAGGGATGACAGAGGAAGGGGCGGATGACGGAGGGCTGAAGAGGAGCTGGACGAAGGGACAACAGGGTGGGACCACGCAGGAGGGGACTGCCCCGACGCCCTGGACTCACCAATGAAGTTCGGAAAAGTCCTGTGTTGGGATGTGCCATTCAACATATTCATAGCTGACCTAGATGAGGGAGTGAGCAAGTTTACTTCTCAAGCAAAGTTATTTGGGGTAAAAAGATGAGAGCAGACTGTGGAAAAACTATGGAGGAGCTTATGAGACTGAGCGACTAGGCAATAAAATGGCATATGAAACTCAGTGCAACTCAGATGTAGTGTCATGTGCATGCAGAGGAATAACCCACACTTCAACACGAAAATGATGGGCTCTGATCTGACTCTTACTATTTAAGAACAAGATCTAGGGGTTAAAATAGTTTCATGAAAACATCAGCGCAGTACTAGTAAGAAATAATATAAGGAAATAATATTTTACATTAGGAAAATTACTGAGAGTAAAATACAAAGCATCACTATGTCTATGGTTCACTCACGTCTTGAAGACTGTGTCTGGTTTTGGTCCCTCACCTCAAAGAGCTGGAAGACATCCAGGACAGAGCAATAAAGATGATCACAAATGCAGAACAGCTTCCATGCAAAGAATGATTGAGGAAACTAGGACTTTCCAGTCTGGGAAAGAGATGACTTGGGAAGGTGGGGTGTGGGAGAGATCTACAAACTGTGAGTGGCATGGAGAGGAACAGAGACTGACTGTTCACTGTCTTCCAGTACAAGAAGGAAAAGCCATCAAGTAAAACAAGGAGGCATCGGTTCAATACAAACAAGAAAAGGTTGTTTTTTTTTCATGTAGGGGGTAACAGATGTGCCCAAAGCCTTGCCAAAAGACTTAGTGTATGCAAGAAGGTTACCTGGGTTAAGGTAGTCAAGTATGTAGTCAAGTATTTGAGAGAGAGATGCGTCAGCGTTTACTAGGTAGATAAATTACAGTAGGCTCAAGAAATCCTCTGAATGAAAATACTTGGAGGCTGGAAATATTCTGGGAGGAAGTATCATATATGCTTGCCCTGTTCCTATTCTTCCCTAGGCATCCATGGATGAGCGCTGATTCTTTTTGAGTCTTTTCAATTCAAAAAATTTATGATGTCTGCAAAAGAGGAGGGTAAAAATATTTACTGACTCATAACCATCTGTGGAGGACAGCATCCCCCATCACTCCCCCATCACTCCCTGTCATAGGGGGACGCTAACTCCTCATGGCTGCTTCACCCATTCAGGTTTGGGTCTTTGGCACAGGGGTGTACTGGCACTTTATGCATCATCTTACACAAGTCCTAGCTGGCCACAGGGTATCGTTTAGCTGATCTTCTCTGAGTGCTTAGCACAAGAACTCTTCAGCAGCACCACTAGATGCAGAAAGCTGATGGCAAAGTGGAAGGTGATCACAGGATCCTTGTCCCATAGGTTATTGAGGTTGTGCTGGTTTTGCTCATCCTAGACGTGCCACCACGTGGGACAGGCAGTGATGGAGGCAGAGGGGGACGCAAGAAGGTGCTTTGCATGGCTCTGCAGTGGGTAGACTGCTAGGCTAGGCAGACATTTAATCTGACCTGGGATGGCTGTTTTTATGCTCAATTTCATACACAACTTGTATATAATATGGAACAGTGATGGAGTATTATCAAGGAACTGTTCAAAAGGTATAGGCATGATTGGTAATTGATGTAAATCCACATAACTTGATTTAAGTTAGTGGACTGATGCCAATTTATGTCTTTTAAAGGAGACTCAAGGGACCTGACTCGAAAGATTTTCTGAGAACAGGGTTTTTAGAATTCAATTTAAAAAGAATAAAAATTAAAATGTGTAAATGAATTGCCTACAGCATGGAACTAATGGAATTATAGCAAATAAAAAACTTACTTCAAAGGTCTGAGGCTTGATCAGTGATTTGGAGATTACTGATAGGATTTATCCTGTTTATCTATTGCAACATTTGGCAACCCCAGAGGAAAAAAGTTAAGCGTCCAAGATTGATTAGATAGCCTCTTAACATTATCTTCAGGTATATCTTTCGCAATTATTCTATCGATTTCCTCACAGTAAATTAAATAACATCTGATATTGGAATTTCATCATTCCATAAAAGAAAGGTATATTTGTATTGAAATCTATATGTATGTGGAATATAGTATTCTATATGTAGCGCCCTAAGACAGAGGGGTCCTGGATCTCCCCCAAAAACCATGGATGAGGATGAGGAAGAAAAAGGAGGTGCTGGGGACCCCGACTGTCCCCATCCAGGATATCCAGGTGGGGGGGGGGGGAGGGCCCCCGG